TCTGTTGTTTTCGTTTTGATTCAGTGGATGTTTCGATATGCAACCTTTCATTTTGGTCAGATTTGTTCAGTTAAGCGCTCAACTTGCAGCATTGTATTTGCTGATAATGATCGGCGGTTTATGCACAAAACTACCTTTCGATCAGGTACTGTAACTTGACATACCATTGTCATTCTAGAATATCTTTTGGCTCAGTTTACTCCGTTCGAATCATCGATTATCAATCACACTCTTCAAGGTTTTTCGTCATTTTGGAGTTGTTTTCATTAAAATGACTTCGAGCATTTTCTTATTTCGTTACATGACAACAGTATTGAATCTTAAGAATTCCGTTTTATATTCATATTTCAGTTTATCAAAGAAGCTAGTTTTGAGTGTATTTCATCGTTGAGATCGGTTGGCGTTAACGTCAAGGGCTGGAATATGGAACCAGAAAGCGACCAATATTACGGTTTGAATTCAGAAGGTGAACATTACGATAACTTAAAACGCAACACTTCAAATGAGTCTCGGTCATAATCTATGTATCACTGATTTTGTTATTACTTGAGATTGCAATTAGCCTTAATTCGCCATCGAAGATAACAATCTACCATTTTTTGCGCATTGTCTTGACGCAAACGNCTAATAAAAGCAATCTTCCAGCTCAGCTTGTTGTGGAACAACTCCGTGAGGCCGTTGAACCTGATGTCAGCAGTAATTTCACTGCTACCTCCAAACCTCGTAATCAATCAGGCGATCCTGTCATTGGTTTATTGGTAAGGAATCGATTAAATTTTTGAAACAAAATGCTACCGCATCAGACTCAATCTGTTCATTAGATTTTTTAATAATTGTGCTTGCTGATGGTCATCGCTGATATGCATTCACAAGAATAGAATATTTTCAGCTATCCTCTCAAAACTCAACCAGCTCGGATGCGAATATGACGACAGTTTCAAACGGTCATGCGGATTCAAATACAAGCGATTTCTTGTCATTAAACGATTCTCTGAATATATTTGTTCATGAAAAGGATAATGGTAGTGTTTCGGGCATCTGTTTCAGTGATTTTCCCGTACGTTAAAAAGATTGAGAGGTTTTGAATTGATCCGAATCGACTCAGAGGAGAGCAGCGATCACGGATCGTGAAATTTTCATTTTATCATATTTCAGTGACGCTTGCTGAAACATCCTTTCTGAAGGGTTCATTTTCTGCAAATGAGAATACTGCTTCATCGCTTCATTCACTTCAAGTTGAAAGCGTGGTTTGTTTGAATGTAAGTAAATTATGAAACTCAATTCGATCGCTATAAGAATTCTAGGTTCTATTAGTGTATATTTTTGCATTCTACAGTTCACTGAGTTATTTGAAAAAATACAAATTCAATTGATCTTATGTTCGATAGAAAATTTGTGTGATCAGTTTGTGGTGGGATGAATGGCTAGAAATATTTTTGCTTGAATAATTGACTTTCTGAATGTGAAATTCAATCAAGATCTGAGAAGGATCTAATGAAGTTTTGGGTGAGAAGATGATGAGTTCAGAAATGATTCAGCGAAACCTAGAGTTATTGAAGATGTTCATTTTCAGTTGTCATATAAGGAGATTCTAATGATGGATTTGGGAGTGGTGAACAGCCAAATGAACGCACCAATCGCNATTATATTCACTTTTCTCACGACAGCTTTCATTCTGTACTTCGGACCAATTGAATATGAAGTGTGTGTTTGGATTGCGGGATTTTTACTTTCTACAGTTCACTGGGTTATTTGAAAGAATGCATATTCAATTGATCTTATGTTGTGGTTGCTTCTTTTGTTCAAACGAACCAATTTAATTTAGTCTAAAAGTCAAGCAATTCATTATGCAGATGCATGCGTGATAGTATGAACTGTTGCAGTATGCAGATGTAATTGAAAAAGCGATCCACTTCGGTTTATGTGCGCTATCGGCGGTATTCATTGGAGATATGAAATCAAACATCCGAAGCAGATGGAGGATGGCGGGATTTGAAGTTATTATTCCAATGCAGTGGAACTTATCGATGGTTAGCATCAAGCTGATTGTGAATTTAACTTATGAATTCAAATTGGATAATTCATCTATTTCATTTGACGTTAACTCGTTGTGTAAAGGTTCAAATGAATGCAAGCAGCCTTATGGATTCAGCTATGAAAGATTCCATGTCTTTCTTCAGACATTAATTGAGAATCTAGAAATGATTAGCTCAGCACTGATTCAGCATTGACGATTGTTTAGTGACTAACGGAGAACTTGTGAATATCATTGTTTAGAATGTCGCTCAATGAATAATTGCTTAATTTTGCTATTTCCAGTTCACTTTGCTCGTATTGACGTTGA